GTATAAAGAATTACGCGATCAAAGATTTACAACATCTCAGATGCATCCGATGTGAATATTCAAACGCAGCAATTACCTTCCAACAGCAAAAAACGCGTCATGTCATATGCCAGATCGAATGAAAAAACTCTTGTGATTTTCAATTTTAGACACATTCATTTAAAATATTATTCGAATTGTTAACAATAAAACCATGCAATAACCCAGCTAACTTCGGATAAAGTAAACGGTGTGTATGCAATTTTATCTGGAAATAATTTAAAACATAAAAATATAGAAAATATGGCTTTATGTGTAGGTACTCTTGTAGTATAAAATATTAGGTGTCAATATTTTAACAAATTGAAAAATTAAGAACCTCAATATTTCGTACCTTTCAATATACTGAAGCCCTTTTCAAAATAATATCGATCAGAAAAAAGTTTCAATGGCATTTTTGTAGTGTCAAAGAATTAGCACCTTGCTCGAAAGTAGGTGATAAATTAAAAGAAAGAAACTTTTAAAGGCTGCATAAAATTAAAAAGACAATTTTCCTACGACACCAATAGAAAATTATTAAAATTTAAAGACCATTGTTTTTTTATCTTTGTTAAAAATAAACATAAATAGTAAATAAACTAAGTACGGCGCTGTACAAATTCCAGACACGTGCTGCATTTTAATATTATAAAAATATAAGGCAAATTTTTCAAAATCGTAATTTCTTATTTAATAAATTTCATTTCACTCTTTTATCGGACCTTTTATAATATCAGATTAAGTAACTTATCCAAAATTACATATTTTAGAATGGGCTCGCTAACCGAAAGTTTTCCCGCTTGAAAATCAAACATGAATACAAACTATATTGGAATCTATCTTACTCTTTAAACCAACTTTTCATAACATCACTCTAGTCAAAACGGTAAATTACCTCATTAGCCAAAAAACTAATCGGAAGACAGAAAGTAGGCGTGGCGATATAGGTATACTTTACACTTTAAAAATTAAATTCATAATAGAATCTCTTATTACCCGGAGTTACGAGAGCAGGGTTGCCAACTTTCCAAATTCAATTTACCGTACCGCGCAATTTAAATTACCGTACATGGCGTCCTAAATACCGTATACTTTTATTTTGCGGAAAAACTGCATATATATGAATTGTGTTATTTAATTTTAAATAGAAATATGTATTATGAAAAAATAGAATCAAGTATTTTTGACGAGTTTCTAAAAAAAAAGTTCTTAGCTTATATTTTCATAGTAGGACATATGCTTCTCAAACATAGATGGCTCTGAAGTCTACAGAATCTGAAGGGACATAATAAGTGACATTGACATTCTTACCCAACCCAAAATATTTGCTTATTCTCTTCAAAATACCGTACGTTTACCGTACTTTTTATGTAAATACCGTACTTTTATGTACGGTAATGACTTTGGACCGTATACCGTACATTAACCGAAATTACCGTACAGTTGGCAAACCTGTACGAGAGTTAATATAACGTGACTTTGAAAATAATATTTGCTGCAATATATTTTTTATATAACAAGTTGTACCACAAACAAACCACTTGTAACATTAATAATCTTCAATGAGTTTGTAACCCTGCATTAAGATACAAAATACATACAACACATCGAGTGAAAGTTATCAAAAAGTAAGATTTAAGAACCAGGATCTAATTCCAGTCCTTAAGTTAAATATTTGGGCTTTTATTATCTATTATCTCATTCTGACGTTTTCAGATTAATTATTACCTCGAGTATCTTTTGAGCTACCATTATTGGTTTCAAATATATTTGATCACCCTATAATATTTCTTTAGATTTTGACTTTTTAAAACTACAGGATACTGAAATTATTGAATTTGGCAAAAGTAAAGCTAGAAACGGCTTGTTTCTGAGATATATTTTCCTTTATCCTATCGTCTTTATTTAAGTACAAATCGCTGTTCGTAAAAATTACGGTGGCCTCGTCCGGTTGCTAGGGACGGGGGTGCAACGTCACAGAATGAAAAATCAAGGTGACAGTAAATATTCTGCTACGGTTCGTACACTATTTTGTAAAAAAAACCTAATATATTTTATTAATATTTGGTGGTAATCATAAACCTTCAAATAAATTATTTTTGATTACTATTGTTTGAATTATAAAGAGAAATATCATTAGATATTCCAAACAAAATGGTTACCCGTAGGTAATGACAGGCACATCACAGGTTATGATATGGCAACACCTGTCAGTCTGCTGATTTGACAGGGTCAATGATATAAATAGTTATATAGAATGATCGTCTATGCTTTTTACATTAAACTAAGGCGTATGTAGGTAATTATTTTTTGCTATATTCAAATACTAAAAATTGGGTTTAAAAGACATTTTTGCTTAACCGATTGTGATGAATTAACACTTGCGATGCAATATGGCCGCTCGCAAAGCAACCCGCTTTAAGCAATCTATGTAACTATGTATATATCATTGACCCTGTCAGAGACAACAGCTCCACAGGGTTGCCATATCATGACTCATTACCCACGGTTTGTAGACAACACGGTGACCTCTTCCGTCCGTTGCTAAGAAAGAGTGTGACGTCACGAAATGAGAAATCCAGCTGACAGAAAATATTCTGCTGCGATTTGTAAATTACTTTTTTTAAAAAAATATAATATTTAGTGGTGTTTATATTTTTATTTTTGGAGTATAAACCTGTGTTGGAGTTTTAATAAAATCGGTAATTTGATTTTTTGAAAGACAATAAAATGGTATGGAAAATCATGTAATAATTTCCATAAAATTTAAAATGAATTATTTTTTATTTGAATTATAAAGAGAAATATTATTGTGTGAATGGTGTATTTTAAATATTTTGGATTAGGGTACGGCCAAGCTGAATTCGAATCACACTTAGTTTATTCCCTTAAATATTTTGTAATTTTGGTAAGCCTGAAGCGTGCCGTAATTTTACTGTTGGCAAACAATTTTTACTTTTTATACACAAAAATCGTTAAAAGAAATAAAGGGACTGAGCCTAAACTGAAATTAAAGACTACTGGTAAGATTTTAGAGTAATTATGCTGCAAATATCATTCACTATGATTAAATTAATTTTAGCATTGTCCACCCTACATTTAAAAGCAGGTGAGATGATTTCTTACAAACATTAAAAACAACCGAGTTCAAAAAAAGTCGAAGGGCTTTACTAAAAGAACATATATTTTTGAAAAAAGGGGTTTGCTCAGGAACTTTTTGGTAAAAAGTACATAGTTACAAATCATTTTAAAAAAGAATACAAAGGCCTTTTGGAGTTGAGAAGTAAATTTGTAAAGCATTCACGAGAAGGTATTTGAGTAAAAGATGCTACCTTTATCTCAGAAATACTCTAAAGAGTCTAAAGTATCCCTTACTGGGGATTTCAACTTTACAAAAGTGAGCTACTAAAATAAATCTAAGATATGGTCTTTTGGATAAAACTGTTTTTCTCCAATTTCGTATCTTATAATTTATAGATTATTATAATAAAATATATTTTTAAAATTACATTGTATGTTTCCTCTGAAATCTGACGGGCCCTTGTTTTATTCCATAAAATTATTTGTAACTACATTTTACTAAAAACTTCCTGTAGCAAACCGTTTTTTAATATTGTAGGTTCTTTTAGTAAAGCCCTTTGATTTTTCTTGCTCTTCCTTGTGTTTATAATGCTTGTAAGAAACCATCTCGTGTGCTTTTAAATGTAGGGTAGACTAAGCTGCAATTAATTTAATAGTGAATGATATTTGCAGAATAATCACTCTAAAATCTTACCATTAGACTTTAATTTCAGTTTAGGCTCAGCCCCTTTTTTTATTCTAACTGTTTTTTTGTGTATACAAATTAAAAATTGTTTGGCTACAAACTTGTCAAGATTTCAAAATATTTCGGGATATAAACAAAGTGTGATCCGAATTCAGCTCGGAGGCCCGGCCGTACCCTAATCCAAAATGTTTAAAATAAACCATTCACACAATAATATTTCTCTTTATAATTCTTTTGAAATTTGATGGAAATCATGATTTTTCCATGCCGTTTTGTAGCTTGGTCTTTTAAATAATCGAATTACCGATTTTATAAAAACTCTAATACTAGAAAATAGTCAAAAATAAATATATTAACACCACTAAATAACAATAAAATATTAGATTAAAAAAAAACTAATGTACTAACCTAAGTAGAATATTTTCTGTCAACTCGCTTTTTCATTCGGTGACGTCACTCCGTCTTTAGCAACGGGGATGAGGTCACCGTAGTTACTACGAACCGTGAGGACAAATGCCATCAAGAATCAAGGCGTCTGGTGATAGACGCATGACATATTCCTAAGACATTGACAAGTTGATAGCAAAGATCGTGAATGGTTCTGGAGTCAACCGAACTGAACTATATCACAATCATCATTAATAAATAATATAATTGAGGATAAGAGCAACGAACAAGTCTATGAGTTTGTCATACATTGAGGCTGTGACAAGAAGTTATTTTGGCTCAATGCACATAAAGGCGCACATTAGTATGTCCCTAATTTTAAGGTATAAAAAGTAAACAAATTTATTTATGTGTCTCTAATTACAAGCATATGTAGAAGGAGAAATGTTTAAAATGTGCAATAACTCTTGACCAAAAAGTATCGGCACGGTATACAATCCATTCACCAATCATCCCTTTTTTTTCATTCCACTTTCGTAGGAAAATTGTTGGAAAAAAAATTGTTGGAACATTGAAAAATTGTCCAAAATATCGGGTTGGAATTGAATCTATACTACAAATAAACAATTATAACACTGTGTTAACTCACCTTGGTGGTCTGGTTGGTTATGGCTTTGGGACGGTAACCCAGAGGTGCAGGTTCGAATGCTGCTCGGAAGAGAAATTTCTTAAATTTTACAATTTTTACCTAAGTTATTTTCATCTATCGAAGTTCAGGAATTTATTCCTGAATTTATTTCACTGTTTTTCAAATTATGTTTTGTTTCAGATAGCGGCCTTCTAGACGAGCTACACATTGTTATGCCCCTCACAGTACCTACTTCTTGACATATTCATTTTGTGGAATAAACATGTTATCAAAGAATCTCTCGAGAAACAGTTGTTGTTATTGTTGGAAATTCGGAATTGCGGATTTACTCATTCCGCGAAGTTGAATATTCGAGTATTTTTGGGAAAATTCATTTTTATTGAGGTAAGTAAATAAACTGTCCACATTTATACATATAATATTTTTGTAAGAGTAATAAATGTACAAATATAGCTTCCAACCAGTTTCCAACCGGTTGCCATTAATTTTTATCGTTTCTAGATCACAGGATTAAAAATTGATTCATAAAATAGCTATTTGTTTATCTAGGGAGGAAACCCCTTATTTTCACCATCTTTTTATACTAATATCAGGTCTAAAAAATTATATATCACATAACAAATATCGAGATGTAAATGCACTTTTCAAGCGTAATACGACAAGGAATGAAAATTGCAAAATTTTGTTTTTTCTTTGGAAATTCGCATAATTTGAAACAAAATATTCTCAAAAAAACCTCACCTCGTGTGGTATTTGGAAAGATTATTTAACAATATAACCAGAACTTTTATTAACAACAAACAACAAAATGTTCTAAAAAAAATCTCACCTCGTGTGGTATTTACAAATGTTATTTAAAAAATTAAACAGAACTTTTATTAACAACATTTGCTTTGTTTCCTTAAGTCAAAACTGTGAAATATGAATAAGTAAAACAATTTTTGTTCATGTTTCGTCACCTTTTTGACAAACTTCACGTTGATGTTTCGCATAAATGATTGATACGTTACTCTGGTAAATAATAAAATTCAATTTTTTAAATCCAACCTTTTTGACAAACTTCACATTGACCTTACGCAAAAATAATTGATACGTTTCTCAGGTAATGAATTGATTTTTAAAATCCAATCATGATTGAGCGAAAACATTGCACCATGCAGAGTTTTCAGATATAGTTTGTTGTGATTATCTTGTGTCTATTTTTTACACAAATCAAAAATAATTTACAATTTTTGTTAATGACATGTATACTATTTAAATTTTGAAGTTTGCTCTTTTAAAGGTTTGTTTGGAAGAATCTAATTTTTGAGATTATGGTCGATATAAATCTATTAATTGCTGGAAAACTTTGTCAAAAATAAATACATTTTTGTGAATTATTTTTCAAATGTATATTAAAAACGAATGAACTTTGTCTCCAAATAGTTGATTTCTATAATAATATGTAACACGTATATAACACACAAAAAATTTAACGTTTAACCCTGGAGTAGGTGTTAAGTGTTATATATAGTCACAACATGTTATCTCATAAGACTTGTGCTTTGGTTAGGTTTGAGTTTTCTGTTGAAATGATGTACATGGGTTAGATGTTTGCTCACAACACACGGATTGAAGAAACAATCAAAGTCATCAATGAATCTCGCTCTACTCACACATTCAAGAAGTGCATATCACCCATCCTAAAAATAATTTCATATAGCCTTAGATATTGAACAAACTAAATATATTGCCTTCAAACGCATGTGAAACATCACGTAGCCTGTAAGTTTAACAACCACATTCCTTTATACAAGGTGAGTCAAAAAAGAATACAAATATTTTAGGAGGTGATAGAACAATGAAAAGGTCAGTTTGCTATACAGGGTGTTTCAGATTTAAACGCACAGCTTAATGGGAGGAAGAGTACACTTAGCTGAGTTTAAAACACACAACGGAAACGATAGAGCAGCAGTAAGAGAGTATCGCAGACGCTTTCCTCATCGCCGTTTACCAAATTCTAAAACATTTTTACAGGTTTGCGAATTCAGTAAGCAACATGGAAAATTTCCAACTACAGTTATACATGAACATGCTCTGAGAAATAATCTTCGACAAGAAGAGGCGATAGCTCGAAATAATCCTTCTATCAGTGTAAGAAGAATTAGTAATGAATTAGCAGTACCGATAACAAGAGTATGGAAAACTTTAAAAAAAGAAAATTTGCATCCATTTCATGAACAAATAGTACAACTACTTAAACACGGAAACGACGTACCCCGCTTATCTTTTTTGTAGATGGACTTTGGCCCACAGAAGGACAATATCGAGAATTTTATTTACTCATGAATCCCAACTTACACGTGATGGGATCAATAGCACTAGGAATGATCATATTTGGGCAACTGAAAATCCTCACACCGTATCACAAAAACATTCTCAATATAGATTTTCTATAAATGTATGGTGTGGTATTTATAAAAATCATTTTAGGCCCTCATGTTTTTGAAAGCAAACTAACAGCTGAAGTTAATTTAAATTTCCTCAGAGCCATTCTGCCAAATTTGTTAGACGGGATTAATACCAGACAAATGTGGTTTCAACATAATGGTGCTGGACCTCATACTGGTCAGAGACAATTTAAATCATCGTTACCCAAATGGATAGGTCGAGGCGCTCTCAATTGGCCACCAAGATCTCCAGATCTAACACCTTTGGATTATTTTTTATGTGGCTACCTTAAATCAGAGGCTTACAACGAAGAAATGAATACCCGAGCACAGTTATTGAAAAAAATTAACAATGTATGTAAAAACATTAGAAATAAACCGAAAATAATTGACAAATCAGTGAAAAACATGTTAAAATGTTCGCAGACCTGTGTTCATTTTGAAAATCTACTTTAGTTTTAATTATTTGTTTCTCTTAGTTTGTTCTATTTTTTTATTAAATAAAGTGAGCCCGGTCCTGTGTAGATGTATAATTTCCTAATGGAAAATGCTGTAGTTAAAAAAATTAAGATAGTACCTAATTTGTGTAGAGTTTTAAAAGTACAGAGTAAAATATTTTGATTTTAATATTGTAAAAACTGATTTATAATATTGTAGTCGCCATTACAAAAATTTACTATAAGAAATATTACACTATTTGATTTATTGATCCACGTACTATTTAAATGTGCAGTAACATTTATTAAAATCCGATATACAGGGCGATATTCTAGCTAAGCATAGCAATATAAAAAACAGAGTCCGGTCCTGGAATTTTTTTAAATTAAATTATGGCTTTGATTAACCTAAGAGAGTGTAACTTTTGTACAAAATTTTATCAAAATATCTCTAGCCGTTCAAACAAAATGGCCAACTTTAGTTTTGTCAAAAAATCATAAAACACCCTATATCTCAGGAACGAGTAAGATTAAAGGCTAAGTATGGGGGTGTTTTGAACTCAGCTAAGTGAACTCTACGTCCCATTAAGCTGTGTCCGTTAAAATCTAAAACACCCTGTATAACCTAATGTCCGAAACTTTAAAATAAGGGAGATAAAACCTTACTAAGGGGAAATGGAAAAACCAGTTCTTCGGTCCTAACGCCAACCGGAGCAAACTAACAACTCCAAATTTCTTGGAAAACTTAAAGGTTTTATATCATTTGATTTATAGGTAAACAAACATAACCAGAAACCAATGGAAGCCTGTATATGCCTAAGCAAGAACAGGCTACGCATTGTAACAGGGATCCTTACCGGGCATTGCCTACTCAAAGGACACCATATTAAACTGAGAGTAGTAAAAGATAGTGAGTGCAGATTCTTTGAGGAGGTGGACTAAACCTCTATTCACATTATGACTGAATCCAAGAGTAATATACCTAGGAGCATATCAAATAGAAGGAGATTAACCTAACTTGAAGCCACTCCAAATCCTACACTTCCTTGAGAAGATAGGATGGGATGGGTCGTTATATACATCGAGACATTTCCTTGCTGCATTAGCGACATGCAAAGACTGTTCACGCAATCCTCTAGTTACTGTAGATTGTGAATTATCGGACCTTAAGGCTATTTGTCTCGTGCTGACCGTTGAGTTTTGCTCAACAATATTTAGAATTTGTTCTTAGGCATCTGCTGTTCTGGAAATTCGTGGCCGACCTGTATTATTTTCTACTTTCAGTTTTCCTGTTTCCCTAAGTCGCCTTTCCACGTTAAGAAATGTCCTCAAATTTGGTACATTTTGAATAGGAAATTTTTCTGTATATCTTCTGACTGACTTTATTAGCATCCCAAACATTCATCCTACGTAAGTAGCATGTCGGTATACTCGTCTAATGTGTACATGCCTTAACAAAAATAACACTACCATGAATAACACACCGTATTGTCAATTTTACTTGAACAAAATTATGACATTCCATAGTTTATTTTTTGATAGTTTATATTGAAACAATACATGGCAAACAGTTAATAATGTTATTAATAACATCTATTGTGCAGTTAGTTACATTTTGAAAGTTAAATTATTCAAAAACGGTATATTCTATCGCATTTAAACAAGAATACCTTTTTTTGTCGGAAAAACTATGGAAATTTGTTTTTCTTAATCAATTTTTCTAAAAAGATAAAATTTAAAAAATAGGCGTAATAATATCCAAGCCACCCCCTTAAACTACCTCTCTAAAAATTATTTTTTTCTTTTGTTTCACCATTAAATCAAATAATATTATACTTTTAAGTTTTTAAAGAAGTTTGGGGTTGATAGTTTGCTCCGGTTGGAAGTTAGGACCGAAAAACTGGTTTTCAATTCCCCCTTTGAATTGTTTTACCTCCCTTATTTCAAAGTTTCGGACATTAGTCTATGTAGCAAACTGACCTTATTTTTCATTGTTCTACCACCTCCTAAAATATTTGTATTCCTTTTTGACTCACCTTGTATATTCTGTTTTGTGTATTGCAACATTTCTCTCTCTCCCACTCGATAAAGCTAAAATAATTTAACAAATTTCACTCCAGTTGGTTCTAGAAGACTAGTTAGCTACGTCTTCATAGCCGACAGTTCTTTTCCTACGGACTCTGCTTTCGACCTTTCAAAAGACAATACATCTCGCTTCTCGGTACTTTAGTAACAATGCCACTGCACACATCTCGTTACGAAGACTCTACTTTTTAGCCTACAAAAGTGACTAATTTCGGGGTCGACGTTTTTACCTTTAAAAGCGTAAGACTGAATTTTCTACAAGTACAAAAGTTTTGTCGTGTTCATATGTAAATAACTTGCTTTTCTCTGTTTTCCGTTAATTAAATAAACAGTGTGCAATTAGTGTTTGATTTATGGACAACAAATTTCCCTCTCAAGACTGATTACAACTCCATCGGTACCAGTATCGTCCTGATGATATTTTAATTGCGGA